CATTGTCAGTCAGGTCAGTATATAGTGCCTGTTCAGGTAGCAGCACACTTACTGAACCAGGACTGGAAATTAACTTCAGCTAGATGACACTGAGTATATTGACTGTGCCTATTGAATTTCTTTTCTTATTCCCAAAGTAATATTTCTTTTTTCAATAGAGTCATTGTTGGATAAACAAATAACTAAATCTGATATCATCCCTTGCTGTCACTGCTTCCTGAGTAAAGGCTGCAGGGTTCTATCTTGTTACATGCTGTATGTGTAGTTATAGGCACAGATGTTATACACCTACTTTACACGTGTTTTGCAGTAGTGCATGCCAGTTTGCACCTGCCTTTTCTTCTTTTGGTTTTTTAAGTGTCCAACAACAGTTCGACCCAGACACCTGAGAATTCAGTGCAGACAAATGTGAGAAGGGCACAGATAGATAGAAAAAGAAGATGAGAGAGAAACACAGTGTGTGTGTTTGTGTATGTGTGTGGGGTTTCTTTGTGTACAAGAGCTACTTTCAATTCAGAAGCTGTGACATGGAACTGTCAGTGAAGCCTAGAAGTGCTGACAGGTAACACACACACATACACACACACGCACACACACACACACACACACATGCACACACACACACATACACACGTGCGCGCACACACACGCACACACAAACTTTGTTCACACTGTTGTAATTGAAAGCTGTCACTTTGAGATTTTCTCCTCCACAGGGATTTGCACTTGGCTGCGGCTCTGGGACTTCACTCATCTCCTCTTTTTGCTATTACTCCTCACCTTTAGACCCACTCTCTCCCTCTTTCTGCCACTGTAGTACATAATACACAACCCCCTTTGCTGTTTCTTTCCCATATACGCTCACTCAACCAAAATTTGCCAAAAACAAAAAACAAAGAAGAAGCAAAAACAACCAACTACTGATCCTCTATAAAGAGAGAATATTGACTGACTGACTGACTGCACATATTTGGCCGGGTTGTAGGCTGGAGAGCAACTGCAGTTGTTTGGTAATGGTGTGATTGAGTCATCTGAAGCAGAATAGTTTACGCGTGTGACTTCACCATCCTTAATATTCCCAGATGTCTAAATCGTATCCCTCGCATTTCCATTCTCTCTCTGCTACGACTATATGGCGTAATTCATTAATTATGGATTAGGGCCTAAATTAGGTTAGCGCATCTTTAATCATTTATGTGGACTCACTTCTTTGACTGGCCCACTAAATCATTAAGTAGGAGTTTCGGAGATGCTAATTTGTTCTATGATCGGCATTGGACAACTGAAAGTTTTGATGAGCTGATGTACGTGCAGATATTGTTTGTAAGGACCGAGAGGGGGGGCAATGACACACCAAACCAAGGACTATGTTGAGATTTTGATATCAACAACTCAGGTTTTCAATATTATGCAGGAACAGATGGAGGATAAGATTTTTTTTACCCATAAATGTCCACCAACACAAAGTTCACAGGCACATACACACATACAGTACACCTATTCATATTTCCCTATCTCCATGTAGCTGCTGGTAATACACTTTTTATATCTTGTATTTTTTTCCCAGCATATTAAAGCATCTTTTCTGTTAAAAGACATCAATCTGACAGAGCTGTTGATCCCTGCTTACTTTACATGCATTCTAATAACAAACACATGAGATAACAATACAGCATGCAGTTTGCCAAGAGGAAGGCAAACCGAGTCTCAGTATTGTGCATTTTCTCTCACTCAGGGGTTAGAATACCAACAGTCAATAAGCTGTACAGTATGTCAGTGCAATACACAAATGAATAGGAATGGGTTCTTATTTTTTTCACCTTTTTAGTTGATTTTTATTTTTATTTTTTTCATATAGAAAATTCAGCATGACTTACAGGAAGACTTATGTATGAAACAGGCCTAAAGTCAGCGATTTATTGTAGATTGTAAATGTTAAAAAAAAGGCTCAACAAGTATGGCTTGAAGTTGCAATGACCCAGCCAAAGTCCAGATATTAACCTGACTGAAATGCTGATGCAGGACCTTAAGGGAGCTTTGCATGAAAGTGCAAATGTTAATGAACTGAAACAATTATCCAAAGAAGAGTGGGCCAAAATCCTCCACAAGGATGTGAGAGTTGTAAAAGAAACAATTACTTTCAGTTAGTGCTAATTCTACAAGCTACTGAATCATGGAGTGCACTTCCTTTTCCACAGGACTGCACAGAGTCTTGTGAAAACGATACTTTTCCCCACAAGATCTCCTGTAATTGTAATCATCAGCTTTTAATCTAAGTGACTATATTTACTTTAAAATTGGTTAATTCACATGCGAGTTCACTGCATTTCTTTCTTCTGGCTGTGTTTGTCTTTTAAAAGCATGTTTTAGTCGGTTTAAACCAAACAACCCACACAGTCCCAATGCAGAGGATAAGCTGTGTTTTTTAACTTGATAAAATGTTGTAAGATCTGAAACCAGATCTTTATAGAGGCTTCAAGCTGACAGACAGTGTGAAACACAAGTGACACAGTAATGCTGTGGAACAAAGATCCCGATGCACTGTGCTGCACAAAGCAGCTGAACTTACAAAGAAAGCTCTCTGACACTATTTTCAAGCCAATCAAACTAAAAAAGAAAACTATGAAGTGCTTGATTTTAACATCCAAGGAACTTTTGGATTTAGACAAGCTCCTGCTTAACTCTTGAATAAAACAAGGAGGCACCCTTCCTTTGACATTCTGTCTATGTATAAAGCTAATGCATGTGAAGCAAATGAGCACAAACTCAGAAATACCATCTTTTATATGACTGCTTCAGTTTGAGCTGAACACTGTGGCCCAGCTCTGTTTTATGGCTTCCACACTCTGCTGCTCCTGGGTGCTTAGCTCTCTCATTTTCTTTGGTGACTTGGTTGTACAGCATACTGCAGCCTTATCTCACCTCTTCTCACAACTGATTACCCACTAGTGGAGTCCCCTTCCTTCTTCAGTCAGCAGTCTGGCTTCAGTCATATGAACCGATATACTGAGTTTTATTTAATAACAAAACCAACAAAAAAAGCAGGGGGGGACATGTGGCCTTTTTAAGTTTGAACCGATTCAAATTTTCACTCTAAATACGATGAGTGGCGACAACTAAGGCCAAATCATGTTTTATTCATCAGGGTGCAAGACAAATTGTGGCCACAGGCATAAAAAATAGTCAGCTTTGTTGCAATAACAATGGAGGTATAGTGCTGCAAACAGTTGTTTGTTTTTAACTCCTGGATTGTTTTTCTCTTTAAATTAATCCTTGGAAAACTAAAAATCATTCAATCTTTTATTGCATTCCAGTTTTTATGCACTCGGACATTTTGTCACGTGTCTTATGTTTTGGGTAACATTTTCTCCATACTGAATTAAAGAATTGTGATCAGAATATTTTATTTACACCAGGTGGAAATGGTTTTGTTACAGACATTCACTTAAAGTGTTGTATTAAATTAAAGTTAAATACTCTGAAGTTAAAACAATGAATCATTCAGTATATACAAGATATTGCAAGTGTAAATAATACAGGTGTCATAAGGAGGTGCCCAAAAGTTTGATGGTCACACATAGGAATGACTTCCCGTGGTGTTCTGTGGTGCATTATGGTTGAACCTGTTCCTGTGATTCCCCAGCACAACAGAAGATGGTACAAAGGGCGGTCTAATATTCACCATAACTCAGAAAGCATCCTCCTTTCTAAAACGTCTGTCACAGAGTCAGTTCTGGACCCACAATATCACTGGCCTTTTAAATCGGTTTATCGAGTCTGTTGTTATCTGTACCCCATCACACCACAGCACAGAGGATGGCCATAACGGGATCATGAAACATCCTCTGTAGCTTGTTTGTTTTAACATATAGATAATGCCATTAAAAGGTAGGCAGCATTTTTCTTTCGGTTTGATACTATTTTTCTTACTAATTACTTGAGTCATTCACACTGAATAACGTATAAAGGTAGTATCTTAAGTATGAGAAGCAGGAGTTTAAAACAACCTCTAAGTGGCGATGCTGAGCCAATAATCTCTTCCCAAAAAAACAAGAAGTCCAATGATTAAAAATAAATAAATAAATTACACAAAACTCACTCAAAAATAAATTAAAGTAATAATATCCTGTTTTGTTGCTTTTTAGTTTTTACTCAGAACTGAAGAACAGAAGAAGTAAAATGAAAGAAGACTTTAATTTGTCCATGTAAAACAAAAAAATTATTTGTGACACATAAATTTCGATTTGGTGCATATTAGGCGATAGCGTATTGGTTATATGAACCCAATTCACGAATAGACTAGCAGCTTTATATGAAAGTTTATTTAACTCACATTTTTATTGAACTATCATGCACTGGAATCTGTGAGCTAGAAATACTTTATGTTGATATATGTTTTTATGGCTTGTCCTGTTTAGCGTTTCAGTAGTTAATAAGAATATGGATGTGACAATTAGTATAAATCCCGAGTAATACTATAGCAAAATAGCATAAAGGAGAGACCAAACTTTTGCACAAACAAAAATTACTGCGTGATCTTTTTTTCTTTTATATTTTGTCTTTTATAGTTTATTAAAAAACGTGTAAATTGATGTGATTTTGTGGTGGATTAAAAAACAAAACATTTAATCTGTCGAGAGGGACCCAAACAAATAGAAGATATATTTCGAAAATTGTTGTCATCAATATTTTCTAAACGTGCAGTTTTTTATTCATCGTAAATCATCGTTTTGTCGTACGTACGTAATGACGTCATACAGGCTTCGCTGTCAATACCGGAAAAATCGAACTAGAAACGGAAGTGCAGCATGAGTTTACAAGTTTACTTGTGTTGTCTCCGAAGGAACGACAAAAAACAGTGATTCGGTGGAGGACGCATTCTGTTTTACATCTACAGCATATAGTTAGTGCTCTTGGACTAACCCTCTTCTTTCTCTGAGTGAGAACAGGAACAAAGTGTCAGGTGATGTTGAATTAATCGGGATGCTAACGCTAGGTTAACTACTAAGCTTCTGGTACAGTGTTCCGCCACGTTTGTTTATTTATCCTGGTTTCCCTTTAATACTCAGTAACGTTCGCTTATGAACATAATGTTAGTTGTAGTTGTTATGGGATTTACATGATCACAAAGTCAACTGAAAGCCGTTTGTAATCGGAATTGAAAATAAACTAGCTATTGTTAGCTAGTTTAACTAGCTTTATATTTGTTGCTCTGGGGTAATGACTGTTTTCCCTCTAACGCCATTTAATTCTAAAAAATTTAAGAACTATGGTTCGTCTCCGAACAGTATTTGGCTGTATGACTTTTCAGCTTAGTTTTTTTTTTTTTTATATATCAGTTTATTACAAAAAGATAAACCAGGTGACAGCTCATAAGTCCCTGAAGCTAAAGCCAAAGGTTCTTGCTACCTACACGTATACTTGCATATATTGAGAATGTGATTCCTTGAATCCATCAAAATGAGCTTTGTTGCTTTGCCTTTTGTTAAATGAATCTTCTTCTTCTTCTTCTTCTTCTTCTTTTTTTTTTAAATCTTTCAAACAGGATGGATCCTGCTCTATTGAGAGAAAGGGAGCTTTTTAAGAAAAGGGCACTTTCCACCCCAACTGTAGAGAAGAGACAGGCTGCCTCAGACTCGGGATCACACAAAAAGAAGAAACCCAAAGTTGACAAGGAGAGCTCCTCTAGTTCCAAACTCAGTAGTGGTAGGTGAAAAATATTTTCTTGAAAAGTATGATGTTTGTTCCTGTAAACCACTTATTCTTGTTTATTAGTGTTTTAATGTCTCTATTGGTTCACATCACCATTGGCTAGCATCTGTAGATATATGTTGGCAAGTAGGAGATGCATTGACTGACTGGCCAGGGACTGGATTCTGCAGATTTCCAGTGCTTAGCTCCGCCCAGTGACTGGCCAGTCAGTCTCCCATATAACAGATTGTATAGCGGTGTAAGCAAATATTCACATGCACTCTCACTGCCTGACATGGTGTTAGTGTGGAAGCTTCTCACTGTGAGTGAAGAGACAAAGTTCACCAAAGTACACTGTAGGGGTACCAGCGAGAAAACATTGATAAACAAGAAATCTAATCAGACATTTAAATATGAAAAGGGAATGTGGCTAACGCTAAAGTTTCACAAAGCTCAGAGCCAGACACAAATGAGCACCCTCAGTATGGCTCAAAGTAACTATGAGGGAAAATTATGGAGACGAGTGAATAAAAAAAACAACAACTAAAAATGTTTTCTATTGATTATTTGAAGATCACCTTATTTTCCGTTGTTTCAGAAAATCCTGTAACTTAATACGATTTGGGGAAATAAACATTAATAATTTTTTTAATGGAAAACATATTTTTAAATGAAGAAAAGTAGATTTTTGTTTATCTGTGCCATTAATTATAGTTCTTTGAAAATCAAAATCTATTTGCAACATAAGAGGCTTATTCTGTACAATTGGATTGCTCATATTTGGACACCAAAACAATTTTCACACATCCAGCTGGTTAATATCTAATCAAAGGCCTAAATATGCACCAATGCTAGTTGCTTTAGTTTTGAATAAAATAATCTCATCTCATCAGTATATAGCTTTTTATATTATGAAAGTCTAACATCCACGACAAGTGAACCAAAAGACATTTTAGAGTGGATGAAGGAACTTTCAACTGGGTCGATACTCAAAATTAATCTGCCCTAAAGACTTGATAGTAAATTGAGGATCCATGTAATTAAAGTTGTGCATGTCAGTTTACTGTGATTCAACAAGACAACCAAGACACTGGAATAATACACTCTCCTGGTTGTTATTTCTAATAAGAAAGAACCTTACTTCACAGGTTAAATGAATCAGGTGACGATCTTTTCTCATTCTAAACCCAAAAAACTAGAATTCTTACTGCTCAGCCAAATTTAGATAAAAGAAAATTGGATTACAAGTGATACTTATGACACTTTTGCATTTAGAATGTTCTTTCAGATGAATTAAAGCAACACGCATAAATATATATACAATATAAGAATTGTGAGCGGTGGCCTCTTGGCATCCGTTCGAAATTGCAATGTCACGCCATATACTCTTAAAGAAAAAGCTACTTCTGTTAACAGAAAAGTGAGTCTTTTATTAGGTGTTTTGTGGTAAGGCATGAAATTACACATAGTGCTCAATATAACATTTTACCGTATATCACTGTGCAGCATGCGAACTTGTCATGAGATTATGTTGCAGTGCTAAACATGTTGACAACACTGGCTTACAATTTACTGAAGAACACCAGCTTTATCCTAAGCAATGATTTCATCTGACTAGGCTTGATCAACAGATATTGTTGTAATAAGATTTGGACGGCAATTTCAGAAACAGCATGTCTCGAAGAAGCTCACTGCATCCAGTAGGTCACAAAAAAAGCACTCACACAGTAGTTGTTTTTTCTGAACAGGTTTTTTTTTTAACACCCATATAGCAGGGTAAGAAAATGCTTTTTTACCCAACGTTTTTTTTTTTTTCCCCATGCAACTTAATAATCAGTTTCCAAAATAATCAAACTAAGAAAATGCCCATTTAATGCAACACATTCTGCCACAGCCTATATTAAAGTCCCCATGTCATGCCCCTTAACAAGCCCATGAATGTATTTTAGTGGTGTACCAGGATAAGATTATTTACAGGGTTTCGTCCAGGAAAACTGTTCAACCCAAAGGCAGAGTGTTCATAACAATTAAGCATTACACTTTATTGATGTAGCACTAGCCACCCACTATATGACATGGATAAAAGAGCTGAGCTGCTTGTGTAGCATCGTACACTGGCAGGCAGAAGACGCAGATTTGGAGACACGAGGAGTTTATTTCACGTGTATATCAGCAGAAAATAACTGAATAACAATTTGCCTCATTTATATATGATGAAGAGTAACCTTAAGAGATGCATCAGCTAACTATTGTCTTGGTGCTTAGGACTAGCTGAGTCATCAGCTTAGACTTGTAAAACACACGGACATGCATGCATTAGTTTTGTTATACTGTACACTGCTGCAGCACGTCTTTTACCCTTTGTTTTGCTCATGTCTCTTTCAATATAATGTAAAGTAGAGCCGTAGTCTTTAGCTTGTTTTTGTCAGCCAGTGTTGCTTTTGTGAGGACCTAAGCTATGCAGAGGAGTGGGTGGAAAATGGCTTAAAAATAGTATATGGTTTATGGTAACAGGCTGTTTATGACTAGTTTATCGAGATTATTTGCTTACACCTGAAAAAGAATATTATGTAAATGAGAACTGCTTTATTGGAAATTCTGCAGTATTGGAATACAATTTCTGTGAGCAAGAGATGAGTACAGAAGCTCTAGCTGTATTAGCACTAAACATAGGGGATTTTCTGTTGTTCTGGCAACATTCCCATAAAAATAAAGGTAAAGTTTTCTCACTAATAAGTCATTTGAAATGGGCTTCGAATAAAGTTGTAGGGAATAATTCAAAGGGCATAATATGGGTACTTTAAGTAGTGGAAATTTGTGTTTTTAAGCCATGTTATAAATACTCAGGTGATCTTCTTTTCTTCTGGGAGTATTTCAGAAGTGAAATATGGCTTTCGGGGTCTGCGGTAGATGTGGGAAGATACATTTATATCGTTCAGTCACCAGCTTTCACCTCTAATTGTGAACAACTGAATTACTTTGAGTGTTTTGGGGGGTTTTTGGGAGTTCATTTTTGCAAACATCTTAGTCAGTAGTGTGGTCCTGTCCAAATGAGCAACAATATCCAAATTCCTATTATTCTTTACTTCGTCCTTGTTGCCACTATACCACCTCAGTGTGGGATTCTGGCTCCTTGCACATGCTACTCATAAGCTTGCTGCAGCTTCCCGGCCCTTCCTCCTGTAGCTGGTGGTGTGTTTTCCCTTTGGCGCAGCACCCACAGTCCAGCAGCTCATAGAGCACAGCCAACGCTGCCAAGGACAGGACGGTGAGAATAAAAAGAAGAAGGATGACGAAACAGGCCACATTCCAGCCATCATGAAATGGGTAGACTTCCTGGACCTGAAAGGAGACGAGGGACAGAGGGACTCCCTCTTCTCGCAGTGGGAGATTGTTTGGATGAACAGTAGCTGTGATGTTGGTCATGATTTCTGGTTGGAAACAATAAGACACAAGGAAAAAAAGATTGTTAATGCTTATGACAGTGTTTGGGTCTTGGTTTTACTGCAGATCAAATTTCAAAATGAAAGCAGCGGTTGTTAAATTCGTGTTTTCATGGTGTGAGGCTGATTAAAAAATGACAGTAATGGGAGAATTTGTCTTCAGGGCATAACACATTGTGATGCAGTGCTTTTAACCAGATGTGCCTGGCTCTATTCCAGGATTTTTTGAAGCATTTGCTCCTGATTATTGTGATAATTAAAAACAAAACTAAAACTAATTATCTTTGTGATACTGATATTGAAAAAGGAATTTGTTCCACTCGAGACAGCAGGCAGACATGGAAACTCATTTACTCTCATAAAACTATCAAATACTCTTATAGGTAATTTGTTGTAATGAATGTAACGCTTCGTTATCAGTCACGAAGGGGATCATGTTGTAAAAAGATAAACTGCTTTGTATGTTTGTAAACAAAACCTAGTCTACATCTGTCATTACAGACATATTTTTTGTGTGAAATGAGAAGATGGTGTATTATTAGAGCACAGGTTATATTGCAAAACACCAGAAACCCTACTGAGGCCATCTGCTCAGAACAAAAATAGCCTTAAAAGGCTGGTAATAAAGGGTGGGTGTGTAGAGAACTGTGCCATCTATGCTTGGTGTGCAGCTCTTTGGCCACAATGCCTTATACAAATGTAGTAACGGAACTGTAATAAAATAATGAACTTAAGAGATCCTTCAAGTGCACATTTGCCTCACTTCAGCTGTTCTTTCCCATTTTTAGCAAACACCTACCATTTTAAAATCCTCGGGGCACACTGTGGAGTGTCTCTGCCCACACAGCCATGCACAAAAGTGCACATACATGCTCTTAACACACACTTGTATGCAGACAATCACAGACATTTGTGCATGAAATATTGAGGCGAAGGCAGATGACCCAGTTGTAGGAGTGGGGCGTGAGTGCATCTCTTTCCACCATCTCCTCCTTTAGAGATTTAATAAGGCTAAATGTGTGCACACACATGCCATCGTGCATAGACTTGTGTTGTTTTAATATGACTTGTTTGTGTGTTTATTTTAGTGGGTTTGTAACTTGAGTTTCAGGTGACCTGGGAACTTAAATGTGAAAAAGCTTAATGTCTCACCAGGACAAGCCACTTTCATTGGTTGCTTCATCTTAGTCTGAAATTCTCTTGACACCTGATGGAAGTGCATGTAAGAATAGAAAAAGTCCATGCAGTGTGCATCAGTGTGCAATTGAGAGTAGTCAAGGTAATTGTCATTTGAGATCACAGGCAGCACGTGACTGCTGGACAGGCTGTCTCCTTTATTATGCTCTACATGTGAGGAAGGACAGCTTTGAACATTGCCCTCACCAGATTCTCCCCATTTTGTCTGGAAGTTGTGTGTACAGTATGGGTTTTGTGTTGTTTTCTTTTGCGTTGAATCAACTGTTTTGATCCTGTTGTTACAAACCCAGCTCCTAATATCAGTTTCACCTCAAGTCATGGCTTTACAACAACCTCTGTTACTAATTTATACCCCCCCCCCCTCGGTCACCCTCCTTTCTTTTGTCAGGGCAATTATACAGACAGGGACAGATTGACTCCTGCATCTGTTATCACTCACCAAAACAGCCCCACCCCAGCCAGGCTCTGAAGGTGTAGAACTGGAGGTTCCTCTCTACACTGTGGCTGTGTCTCTCTCTCTCACTCACTCTCTCTCTCACACACACACACACACACACACACACACACACACACACACACACACACACACACACAAACACATACACTCCTAAGGCCCCTGGCTGGCTCCTCACAGCACTCAGTCCCTCATTGATTTGTCTTGAGTCATGCATTTAAACAAACATATACATGATATCCATAAGTACACACAGACAGGTTCTGATGCTTGGTATTCAAGTGGGTAGAAAGCAGACAGATCCATGTATATTTAATCCACTGTTCGCTTATACAGTCTAAATGTTGTAATTCCTACGCAAAAGGACCTGGCTTTGTAAATACATCCACTGCATTTAAAGATGTATGACTTCAACCTGCAAATATTAGTACGCTCTAAAAAAAATCCTCATATTCATATCTTCATAGTGAAAACCCAGTGCAGCCTGTAGCCTGTAGCTTAAATTTATATTGTGGATTATTATGATCTGTTGATGTCACGCACATTATTCAGAGGATGGTGTTCAGAAAAACATGCAGACTCACCTGTGTGTCTGGCTTAGTTTTTAGAAGATGTAAGCCGACAAATGTCTCTCCTCTTTTTGGTGCTCCACCTATCTTCTTCGTTTACACTCTTTCCCTCCTCCACATTCACTCTTCAACCTGCTTTCCTCCTCAGTGCTCTCGTGCACTTTCAGTCGCTCTCCTCCACCGCCACTCCTTGCAGCTCTTCATGTCTCAGCTGAACAGCACAGGATTGTCTACATCATTGGCTCCTTTCTATTAGCCCTGCCTCTGCACCATTCGTTAGCTGGTCTGTCACAGTTTCACCGTCCTGCCTACTGTGCTGCTCAAAGCAACAGAAGCTCCCGCCTACACAATGAATCATTCATGAATCAGTGTCTGTTTTCCGCTTTGATTGGTGAATGCCGAGTCCAGACCTCAGTCAGTCTCTGAGGGGAGCAGCATTATTGGACTCCAGCAGAGAATAAGACCAGCTGGCCGGACTTCAAGTCAAACTAAATCAGATTGGCTTGATATATGACTTGTGTAGTATTTTAATGTTGCAAACATTTAAATCTGCTACATTTTTGCACTGCGTGACGTGTTTCTGTGTTACCCAAAATACATACCCTGCAGCTGTAAATACTCACTAGCTTCCTGGAGTGTTACTTTGTATCTGGAAGTAGTCCCCAGCATTAACTCTCGTATGAGTCAGGTTTGCTTAAAACCTGAATTAGCCTCAATGTCATTGTGTTCCTTTGACCTGTTTCAGATGATAGCGTCTTCAATAGGAACAAATGAAGGCTGACAGGCAAAATAGAGAGTGGCAAACAAATGCATTGTTTGCTTCTGTCTTTTCACTGAATATTGACAATAAGAAAATGTCAAATAATGAATGCAGTTAGGATTTTAATGGCCTCATTAAACACTCGCTGCTCATTTGACAGGAGCTGACATGACAGTAGTCAATTATCTGAAATACATTTTCAGCAAAGTGTTCTTGCACAAATATGTCAGTCCATGTAGTTCTCAAATCTCACTGTACATTCAGTATTGCGATAATAAATTGGTTAAACTTAAATGTTGTTGTTTTTTTCCACAGAATCTAATGGCAGCTTCAACATTAAGACGAGCTCTGGGTACAAGTTTGGTTGCCTGGCCAAGATAGTAAATTACATGAAGGTAATGAGGATTTTGAGGGGGACATTAAAACCTTTTTTTTCAGCAGCACCAACACAAATAATAAGATTTTATCCTTTTACCAAACATAATAAGAAATAAGAAAAAGAAAAATAAGAAAAAGCTTGACATTTGTCTGTTGTAAAACATGAGTGAGTCATTTGTGCCTGCTGGGTTAACATTTGGTCCCCAGTCTTTCTTTTGGTATGTTAACAGCTTGTTTATCATGCTGTGGCTCTGCAAACAGGCAGCCAGGCCTTGTCACACTAGCTGTTTGACTCATTCCTCGGTGAAGAACTCACACTCAGATTGACAGATTTTCCTGTTAAATGTGTGCATTTGTGCCACCTGTTGAATGCACAGTTCTAAATCCTGTAAAATTACTGTAGATGTTTGCCTAAAATCTTCTCCATAGTGCAGAAAATAAGAGGGCTGCGAATATTGTTTTGTGTGTGTGTGTGTTTACCTAATGTCTGCTTTTCTGTCCTTAATCTCTCAGACGAGGCATCAGAATGGGGACACGCACTTCCTGACCTTAGATGAGATTCTTGATGAGACCAAACTTCTAGACATAAGCATGAAGCAGAAACAGTGGCTCATGAATGAGGTGCTTTTGTGCTATTTTTAATGCCATACCTCTATCTTTTATTGTCAGTAGTACTAAGGTCAATTGCGTTTTCTCTGAGCAATTTCTTTTATGAGTCTCACCTTAAATCTACACAATACTTGTTTTTTCCCCTCAAGCTAATTTGTAAGTTATTCTCATCCAAACATATTCGGTATGTTGCAAAAGAATAAAGCCATTGAAAGTAAGTGATGAGAAATTAAGCTGATAATACATCGTATGCCATTAAGCCATCTTTTTACATTGGAAGGCTACACTTACCGAAGAAGAAAAAGCTACTGTACTATTTGTTTAGTCTTTTCAAGGTGTCAGTTTTTATTATATTTTGTTTTTTTATTGGAGGGGGGTTATATATAATCTTGTGCTTTACTTTCACCTACCAATCTCAGGCCTTGGTCAGCAATCCAAAAATTGAAGTCCGGGATGGAACCTATGGCTTCAAGCCTAAATACAACCTGAAGGACAAGAAAGCCTTACTGAGGCTGCTGGATAAGCACGACCAACTGGGCCTGGGAGGAGTCTTACTAGAAGATGTAGAGGAAGGGCTGCCCAATTCAGCCAAGGCCATCAAGGTATTAAACATTATTCAGTTTTTAGTGAAGCATGTATCACCACTAAGATGCCACTCGGTGATGTGCGAACACTGTGGCAACTAAACAATTAAAGCATGGAAAAGACTTCTTGTGTGATCGTTCACAGGCTTTGGGGGATCAGATCATCTTTGTTACAAGACCAGACAAGAAAAAGATCTTGTTCTACAATGACAAGCATTGCCAGTTTGCGGTAGATGAAGGTGAGTATTGGTCTCTCCGTAAATTGTACGGTGACATGGCTTCCTCTTTCTCTGTGTATCCGTCTTTGACCTAAACTGACTATTATGCATGCTATGCATACCCAGTTGGCCCTCACTCTGCATTTATTTCATGTAAGAATTTTCCAAGTGTGAAATTATCACCATAGAGATAAAAAAAAAAAAGGATGTAGCTTTTAAGTACTAAGCTAGTGAATTGTCTGAAAACCTGCATTCTAACTGAATGCCACCAGATGGCGATAGCTGTGGTTGCAAAAAGACTCAGTCCTATAGAAGTCGAACTGAAATCAGCTAAAACTCTGTGAACATTTTCTTGTTGTTTATGGATTCAGTTATACTATGACTAAATTTTAATCATAATAAATCAAAAAAGTATATTTTGTAAATCCTGGTCAAACTGTATTTCAAAACGGAGGATTATCCTTGGTACACAACCCCACACTCATTGGCTAACCACTTGAGTGACCAACAACCAAGGTCCAGAAATTCTCATGGCTACATGCTTCAAACCGGTGGGCAATCTCTCAATAGCTACGTTTATGCTATCAATTTTGACTTGGGTAAGTTGTTAGAATTAACATCAACATCAAGGAAGTCTTCGTCATACATTTTCGCGAGTTAGAACTGGAACATTCATAATGATCTGAATTTCTGTCCTCCGATGTTACTTGCGGTCCATGTTGGGCATGCTTTATATTGCCTTTGTCTGCAAATTAAGCTATAACGTTTTTGCCAAATTTCAGTGCTATTTTGGAGAGGTGGAGCATGTGCAAAGTGAAAACCAATTTGGCTTTGACGAAGATTCAGGCAACTTTACTTCAACTGTGAAATGAAATGTTTGTTGTATTAGATCTATATCAGAAGTGTTTTGTAAAACTCATATTGTGCATTTCATTCAGGTCTGTGACTTGTTTGGTTAGTTAAGACTATGTGTCCGGCTCTTCAAGTGTAGCTGCTTTCAATGTCAGAATTTCAGAAGCTGTGGAGGAGTGTTCCAGTTGACTCTATAGATGAGGACAAGATTGAAGAGTACCTGAAGAAACAAGGCATTTCCTCCATGCAAGAAACGGGACCAAAGAAAGTGGTCAGTGTTTGTTTGTTTTTTTTTTGTTTTTTTTTAAATTCATATATATACATACATACGTATATATTAGGGGTGCAACGATATTCGTATCGATATTGAACCGTTCGATACAGTGCTTTCGGTTCGGTACGCATATGTATCGAACAATACAACATTTGTAATTTATTTTATCAACTTTCCTTCTGACGATGCTGTCTGTGTGGAGCGCTCAGTGAATCTGTGTTCGACTACTCCGCCTAGGCTGCACTGTCGAGCACAGATCCACTGAGCGCTCCACACAGACAGCATAGTCAGAAGGAAGAGCGCAGGGCAAGCTAGCGAGACAGAAGTTAAGCTCTCCTTGCAACAGGCAAATTGAACGTCATTCAGATCTGGCGTTTGGAATTATTTTGGTTTTCATGTGACGTATGACCCTGAAGGTAAGAGAGTCATGGACTAAAGTAAAACAGTATGTTTTAGTCCATGACGCGCTTACCTTCAGGGTCATACGTCACATGAAAACCAAAATAATTCCAAACGCCAGATCTGAATGAGGGTGGGGGAGGTCCATGTTGCAAGGAAAGCTTAACTTCTGTCTGGCTAGCTTGCCCTGCGCTCTTCCTTCTGACTATGCTGTCTGTGAGCGCTCAGTGGATCTGTGCTCGACAGTGCAGCCTAGGCGGAGTAGTCGAACGCAGATTCACTGAGCGCTCAACACAGACAGCATCGTCAGAAGGAAAGTTGATAAAATAAATTACAAATGTTGTATTGTTTGATACATATGCGTACCGAACCGAAAGCACTGTATCGAACGGTTCAATATCGATACGAATATCGTTGCACCCCTAATATATACGTATACGTATGTGTGTGTGAGAGAGATTTGTTAGAAAGAAATAAGAAAGTCTTTAATATGCAGTTCTTATGGTTACACCTGTTCAAGGAAATGAATGAGAGCTGATTATCTTTCTGTGCTCTTCACAGTTACCAATTCAAAAGAGAAAGAAGCCAGCCGGACAGAGGAAGAGAAACTTCAAGACGCACAACAACCATTTGGCTGGATTACTGGAGGATTACTCAGATGGCGTGCCTGTAAAGAAGTGAAATATATTCATTCAGTCCCATATGTAACACAGAAATGCATGGAGATGGTTATTCTAGACTCACTATAACATAAAAACTGCTGATGAATGTTATTTCAAAAAATTAGCTGTTTTTCTCTCCCCTTTCTTTGCATTCCTCTCAACAATCTCTGGTTTTATGTTACATGGAGTCAGTAGTTGCTGTGTTGTGGAAACCTTTTGAGTATAAGTCAGTGAAGGACATGAATACTTGGATCATTAGGATAGCTGGCGCCCTCACCAATTAAAGGGGAAACCACAACTTTACTGTTAAAGTAAATAAGGTTGAATTGTGTAGCTTTCTTTCATATTGTTTGTATATATTTAGTATAGTGTGTGGAAGGTTTTTATTTGAATGGTTAGCAACGGTTATGCTTTTGTAATAACTGCAAAAAACAGCCTTGTGTTGTGCAGTGTATCGCATCACACTGAAAACTCATCCAGCAGGAAATGTCTTCAGCTTTGTGGAACTTAAAATATTTAAATGCGTTTTACTTTGCAACACTGTGATAGTGGTTTAAGAAATACTGGCATTTTTGAACCAACTCAAATAAATTATACTGCTACACAAAACTGCTTTGATTAGATCAATAAGTTGCCATTTTAAGTGTCAACATTATGCGTTTAAAAAAAGTCAACATTTGAATCCATCTAAATACTTAAAATGTTTCATTTATTGTTAGTGTAAATTCTTTATCAGAATGGCAGAAATTACCTTCTACAACTTAATGATAAAAATACTGGTAACTGCCATTATAAGAAATGAGCAAATCTAGTACAGCTTGTGTACCTTATAAGTTAATTGTAAAAAACAAAAGGTACATCGGCATAGCAGGAGAAAGATGAGAAGCTTAATCTTCTGTTGCAGATCAGAGTAGAAAATATCAGTAATTGAAGAGCAAAAACAGGGTAGGTACATAACTATATACATTCATGCTTTCTTCCAGCAGGATCTAGTTAAACATTGATATTCTCTGCATTTCAAAAGGTATAAAGTGTAATTTTAGCTAGCAGCATGGCCTGCTTTAACAGTTTTCTTCAAATGGTGGTAGTTTGGCAAGATCTTCATCAGAAAATCGAGCTGAAGAGTCTGTGGCTGAAATGAGATAACAGACATGATGATGAGCATAATGCACAAAAGTTTTCTCTGCACACAAACTTTTAAACAAGTGGGCATGTATGAAAATCTTACATAAAAACATTAAATATGAAATATCACTTCAGTGTTTTCTTGGTGAATGTGACGGAAATGAGAGAAACTGAATATTTTACACATTTTCAGACAGTCTGTTGATGCTGAGTTTTTGCCCATGGTGTTACTGCGTTTCTCAGCTCTAATGCTGAATGCTTAAAAACAATTATTTGCATCATAAATGTGACCCAAATCCATATGAAACTCAAGTGTGGCTAATGTAGCATTTGTCTTGCACTTGTACGAAATGCTCAGAGTTGTAAAATATTAAAAACTTTCTATATAGATCCCAGATACAAGTTAGAGGGAGAATTATTTTTAAAAATCTGAATCTAATAAAACATCAGATTTTTAGTTTCATCAGGAAAACATACATGTGATTAACCCACTTGGAAGCTCAAAATATAATGCTTTGATATTCAATTTGCAATGCTAATGCTACATCTAGGTTATTTGTCTACACCGACGATGTTTTCCAGTCACAGATCTCCATACCTGGGGTCTCTCAGTCTGCACTCTCCTCATACATCCAGAGCCGTAGATGACCGTGTTCTCGGGTATGACCTCACAAGTGTTGACCTGACAGAAGGCTCCAATTATACAGCCACTGGTGAGGATTACATTCCTGCCAACATCCGCTAGTCAACAAAAAAGATATTTGGTAACGTGAGTGACTTCATCGAAATTATACAGACTTGAACACTCACTGAAAGCCAAAGAAACGGAAGGCAATATCCCACCTTTAGATTCAATCACATTGTTGTCTCCAATTTTTAAAGCTTGCGATACTGTTTGTTGTCAGTTGAGGCAAAACATGATTTTTTTTTTTACAAAGATTTATGTTACAATTTAAAAATCTTATATGGAGCAGTACTGGCCAGATTAGGTAAAAGGATACCACAGCCAACTTCAAAGACGTTGTTGATACCGATGGTCATTGTTTTTGGTTCCACCTCAGTATCAGGTGTAATATTTTCTGGGTAACTGTGGGGAAGATCACACAAGCTCGCATGTAAGAACAGTGACAGATCACCAGAGATGGTCAACGATGGTTAACCTAGTGGAAAACATGGTACACCGAGGCCTTAGATAACCTGTTAATGATCAGAGCTTGCTCTTCAATCAAGTTGCCTTCTCCGATGACAATGGGTCCTGCCTCAGCAATGATGCGAGCTTTTGGGTGGACCACGGTCCTGGCGCCTGGAGAAACAGAGGTGCAGCAAGTAATCGAGCACAGTGATGACAGCCATTCAACTCCTGCCTTGGGACTGATCTGCTGTGAGAGAAAAGCAAGTTTTCTGAACTCCGATTACTGGGCATAGTCTTACCTATGGTAACGTCTCCTCGGATTTCGCTTTCAACACAAACCACGGCTCCAGCTGCTATCTTGACACTGCAACAGAAACGAGAAATGTTTTTGTACATGCTAGCTAACGCTGCTAGCTAGCTACTTCATTGAGCTGTCTTAACTGGCCACATCAGCATCTTCAATTCGCTGTAACTAATTCTTCTTTACTTCTATTATTTATTCTAATGGATTTTATGCTTAGCTACGCCGCTAAAAGTCATGTTCGCAATAATGTACACATTACCTCTTCTGAGCATTTTGTTTGTCTGCCATTGTGAACGATGAAGTCCGATGGGAGGCACCGTTGAGCCACTCGATCATCGATTTAGAGTCCTTGACGTTTCAGCGTACGTACAAGTGTAAAGGGAGAAAAAAGAACAACAAAACCCAAACTTATTTATGTGTAATTTTTTTATATAGCTTATTTTTTCTCTCTGTTGAAAGTGTTTCCTGTCTTATGGAGTTTTCAGATTGTGGAAATGTGTACAGATCTCCATATATTTAGACAGACAATATCTAATTTTCATATTTAAACATAAAATGTAGGAACAATTTCAATGTTTCTTGTTACAGCTTTACTTTTCTTTTTTTCCACACAATTAAACGATTTGATCATATTTTATTCACATTTATTACAAAAAAAACCCCACTGAAAACAAATGTTTAAACTGAGACATTGTGATAAGATTAGGAATTATATACTCATTTCTTATCTTTTCCATCTTGGTTATTCCCAACAAAAATCTCAGCATCTTTAGCTCTTTCACCTCCATCTCAGCCTCCTGTGTTTTTGTCAGTGCCACCGTCTCCAAACATACACCATGCTACCTGCTCACATAGATCACAATATCATCTCCAAACACCATTGTCCACAGACTCCAGCTTGGCCTGATCTATCAGCCCATCACCACTGCAAACAAAAAGGGGTTCAGAGCCGATCCTTCATGTAGTCCCACCCCCACCTGGAAGCCACCTGTCATTCCTACGGCATACCTCACCACTATCTCGCTGTCCTCATACATGTCCTGCACCACCCTCACATATTTCTCTCTGGCACTCCTGAGTTCCTCATCCAGTACCACAGTTTTATTGGGAATACTGTGTCATATTCGACTTTAGTGCCGATCGCAAACATGAATATGTGCAATAACCATTCCATTACCTAACAATTATTGGGGTAGTAGAACAGGTATAGTACTTTGGCCCTTCTCGCTCCCACTAGTGCCAAAACAAGTACACGGATCGAAAGTAACCTTTGCCATGGCAAAAAGGAAGCTTAAGAAAAACAATACATGTCACTCGTCTTCAGTAGCATCGGTTAAACCAAAGAGCCAGAAAGAAATGGCACAAACGGAGAAAAGTGCCACTTTTGCCCTTGCTGCTGTTGCTTTGGTCGTGGCTGTTTGCGTGGCACCACTAGCAGCTGAAATATCTTCGTGTAAGTATCCTGAACTGAAAAAAAGTAAAAGCAGGAGACTACTGCTACCAGGTTAGCAAGCTAGCGAGCAAGCTAATGTTTAGCAGTGTTTTACACCAACTCCCGTATTTGTTGAAATTATATTACAGCAGCAGTGGTTATGGGTTTTTTGACGATAGCTGAAGGTTTACTCCAACAAACAAGCGGTTTAAATGTTTAATTATTAACCTGCTATCGAGCGGCTAACTGTAAAACGGTATCAACTGAGAACAGCTGATAATGGAAAAGTGAGCTTCAGCGGTTTGAACTTCCCTCTCGGTGGTAAATTAGGGATTAATGCAGCATGTGACCACTGGCTCTATCACATGCTTTCTCCCTCCAGACGCTAGCTTTACCTTTCTGGCTGTAGCTTGCTGTCAAACTGGGCTTCTTCGCTACCGCACACTGGTATGGAATGGAGTAGGTTTGTGGTCCTTAGCATCGGCTGTGGTCGATAGATTTGAGACAAATTACAGAAAGATGGCTTCTTGTGTCGCGTATTAAAACGAAAAGCATCACGACCACCCGTTATTAGTTCTCTGACTTGTTTGATAACATTTGTGCAGTCGGGAAAGATGAGATTATTTTGCACGTTTGCGCATTTTGATCGAATAATAACCAGCGTAATGGCATGCACACTGTTATGGTTTTCTGATGATTTTAATTATATGAACAGCGGCTTGGGTGGGGTTACCAATGGAAAACCGTAGACTGTAGCTTCGTTGTACCTTCATATGCAGAAAATTGATGTGTTGCTGGGTTTCAACTGATCTGCACAATGCCTGCTGCGCTTTCTTACTCACTCTAGCTGATATACATCATCATAAGCACCTGTCCCTGAAGATGGATGAGGCACAGCTGACGGTCAACAATGAGTTGTCATATGAGGTGCAGGTGTCTTGGATGTCACAGCGCTGCTACCAGGTGGGCTCACACGTGCCAGATATTTCCCCTCATTTGATTCTGTTTCTGTGTGGTTTAAGTTCAATAATGTTCTAAACTTGGCTTCTGCTCTCTCGCCTGTTAGTGTTTGTACCAGCAGCTAGGGGTGGTACCTGCAGGGCTTGAGCCTGGTCAGCCCAGTTCAGTAAACTTTGTTGTAAGCACACAGCATGAAATAACACTGCAGATCAACAGCACACCTATCGAGCTGGAGCTCTGCAAGTACGTTTACGAATACGGTCGTGTTTCCAACTTACAAAAAGAACGACACTCTGGTTATATAAAATTAAGGATCAGTGTTTGGCTTATTTGTTGATGACATAAATCTTTTTCCTTTGTTTTTTTTAAATTCACAGAATTCCTTTCCACTTTGGCGAGCATGGTAACTACTCCCTGTGGGTGAAAACCCTGAACGCATCTTTTGGAGTCAACTGCTCTGTAGTTACTGATAAGGACCCTGTGAATAGCTACATACGTGAGTGTCTCACACAGAGAAAAAGATTTTATTTTAACTAATAATTAATATACACTTAATTAATATCTCTCCACACAGCGATCTTGGTTGCTTTTCTCATCTATGCTCTCCTGGCCTTGGTGTTTGCCATTGGAAAAAAGGTTTGGGGGTAAGCCTGATTTTTGTTTTGATGTTCATTCACTAAATTTCAATATAAAGAAGTGGATAGTTTTTGAATGATTTGAAAATGTTAAGAGTAAGCACTGCAGATGCATCAGAAAGAGATGCTCTGTGCCTTTGTGGAAGTATCCTCTGGAAAGAGGAGGAAGTCAGTAGAAGCGAGACAGAAAATGTGTGTTTTCCATTGTTGAGCCATTACGAGCAGAGATAGTGAAGGTAGATGAGTTTAAATATCTGGAATCAATCATCTAGCAATTAGAAACTGCATAAGAGAGGTGAAGAAGAGAGTACGGACAGGGTGTAGTGGGCGGAGACAAGTGTCAGGAATGATTGCTAACTGAAACATAGCAACAAGAGTGAAAGGGAAGATTTACAAGATGACAGTGAGACCTGCTATGATGTATGGTTTGGAGAGAGTGACACTGATAAAAAGACAGAGTTGAAGATGATCAGATTTTCAGTGGAAGCGACCGTGATGGACACGATGATTAGAAATGATTAAATCAGAGGGAAAGCTCAGGCTGAGTGTTTTAAAAACAAAGTTAGAGAGGCAGGGCTGAGAGTGTTTGTGCAGAGGAGGAATTGTGGATATTTGTGATGCTGAATGATGCTTCCAGGCAGGAAGAGAAGGTTCATGGATATAGTCAAAGAGGAGATGCAGAGGAGGATGCTAGGAACAGGGTTAGATGGAGGCAGATGATCCACTCTGGCGACCTCTAAAGGGAGCAGCTGAAAGAGGAAGAAGAAGAACGTTTTTCCAGTCTTGTCTCTCTCTGAAGCACACAGTCTCGAGAGTCAACTGAGCTTGTTTGTACTCCAAAAAAACCCTCAATCAAGATCTTGATTGTTTCTTGTCCAGGCTTGATGCAGTAAGAGGTCTGGTCCTCCGACTTGGGAGTTCCATGGAAACGGAGAGACTCATCAATTCTGTGAGTGTTCTGCAATCGTTTGGCCTTGTTTAATTATGAGTGCTTTAGTGACAATGAAATAAGAACCCAGATAGTTTTAATATAGCAGATTTACAGTTACTGATCTGCTTCTATCCTGTGTGTTTTTGTCTTAATAATAAATCAGGTGATAAATCTATACTTCCAGTAGAATTATGTTAATATCCAGCTTTGACTTCATCATCCAGGAACTGGGCCCCACTCGGGTAGTGCCGCCAGTCACTGATAACATCCTCCCTCCCCCGCTAACGAGCAGCAGGAGGCTTCGATCTTTGGATACATTCAGAGGGTAGCTTCCTGACCCCACCCTCACTCTTGTGCCTCCAGCTTAGTGTCCTCATTGTCTTATTTATCATTATACTGTATCATATGCTTGTTTGTTTTTTATTACAGTGTGGTAGGTGACACTGAATTTGTCCCTTATTAATCAACCACCACCGGCAGTATTAAATCTAGATCCAGTGCTTTGATGTTTTCATATTTTTGCCTATTTTTATTCATCAATTAATATAAATAAACATGTACTCCTTGCTTGATGCTTTTCGGTAAATGTGGCATTTTCTGTGTTTCTGTCAGTATCTCCTTGGTCATTATGGTGTTTGTGAACTATGGAGGGGGGCGATACTGGTTCTTCAGACATGAAAGCTGGAATGGTAAGCCCAGTGTGGTTTCTTTGTTTAGTTTTTTTTAGCCATGTTGCAGTTTCCTCATTATTTACAGATCTTTGCAGCTCTCCTTGGTATTTGCAATGTTGTTGATTTTAAACCAGGCCTTCCCCATTTCTCATCTTGCAGGCCTTACTGTTGCTGACCTAGTCTTCCCTTGGTAAGCTTAATTTAAAGATTCTTATAAAAAGTTGTCTTATATGCAGTTGGATTGTCTTTATTTGTACTCACACGTTAATATAAATGTGCAGTATTTGTATTAATGTGTATTTTTATTTTGTAATGGTGACAGAATTATCTTCAGAAGGATTACAGGGACCATTAACAAATTCTGGTCCAGTTACATAGTTGAATGTGCACAAGAAATAAAGGGTGTTTTCTTTAAAGTGGTCACTGGACTAAAAGGGGCTTAAAAATTGTATAAAAAAGGAAAATCCAATAGAATGAATAAAAAAAATAGAAATAATAAAGTTCCATTTGTTCCCTCAGCAGATCTTTTAAGTGTAGAACCAGCACTCATTTTGTCCCTTCTTCCACCAGGTTTGTGTTCATAATGGGCACATCCATTGCACTCTCCATCAATGCCTTGCTGCGTGCAGGCGCGACCCGTTGCTCATTGCTCAGAAAAGCTGTGTGGCGGAGCTTGCAGCTCTTCATCATTGGTGTCCTAGTCATCAACCCAAACTACTGCCAGGGAGCGTGTAAGTATGAACTCCGTCTTTACAGCAGTATTCCAAGCTCTTTAGGTGGATGATTAAACCATATACTATAATACTGTTTCAAACTTTGAACTTATGTGGTTATTTATTTTCATTTGCATTTTTATTGCGTGTTTATATCTTCTCCACAGTGGCTTGGGAAAACTTGCGGATCCCGGGTGTGTTGCAGCGCCTCGCCTGGTCATATCTGGTCGTAGCTTGCTTGGATTTACTGGTGGCCAGAGGACAACTTGACGTCCTCACAGTGGTCAGCCTTTTTTTTTTTTCTTTTTCATCTGCATTGTTTAACAGTCTGTGTTGTTTTATGCTAAATAGGTTTATGTTAAATTTGTGTTTGAGGAAAGGAGATGTGTTTAATGGAGTGGGTTTTATTTTCCAGGATGCGTGGTGGTCCCCAGCTATTGATTTCTTGCTGTATTGGCCCGCCTGGCTGTGTGTGATTCTTCTAGAAGTACTCTGGCTCTTCCTCACATTTCAACTTCCTGTGCCAGACTGCCCAGCGTAAGTCAAAGACAGTGAAGTGTAGTGCTTCATTATTTTGCGTACATTTTTGCAATAATTAAACTTTTAGCAGTAAGCGTTAATAAACTGGAATTTCTAACCTTCCTCTTGGTGCAGTGCTACATTAACAACACTGACTGCACTAATTTCTTTGGTACAGAGGTTATCTGGGTCCAGGTGGGATTGGGGACATGGGGCTGTATGTGAACTGCACCGGTGGAGCTGCTGGTTTCATTGACCGCTTGCTTCTGGGAGAAAAGCACATGTACCAGAATCCATCATCAAGGGTTTGTAACCACCAAAACATCCCAAATATAGCTTCATGATAGTCTTTTGTAACTTGAAATGTTAAGGTTATTTTAATGTGTCAGATTTCTCTCCAATGGGCACGTACACACTTGTTAACCCCAATAATGCAAACACTGATAGACTGCATCTGATGTTGATAAAAATCAATCAGTTTACATTTTATTTCAGGTGATTTATGCAACTCGTATACCGTATGATCCAGAAGGTGTTCTTGGCAGCATCAACTCTATCCTCATGGCCTTTCTGGGATTACAGGTTTGTAATTTATATTTGTCTGGTGTTGGCCTCCTTTTGTTTCTTGTTTATTCAAATAAAGATATAAAACAGTTTGAAAGGTTAAAGGAAGTAAATGGTTGGCTTTCATTCTTTTTGTATTTTAATTGTCCTCAGGCAGGGAAAATAATCTTGCACTACAGAGAACGTCCCAAAAGTATTATGTCGAGGTTCCTCATATGGGGTCTTTTACTGGTAAGCACATTGTTTTGATTGATTAATTGAATCTTTATTTTGAACATGTTGAAAAAGTACAACAACATAGAATTAAAAAGAGACAAACAAACAAAGCAAACAGCAAACAGAGAGAGAGAGATCTATATAAAGTCATTTTGGCATCCATGATTGAATAATAAAATGTCTTCTGTCATTCAGGGTGTTGTATCAGCGTTTCTAACCAAATGTTCCACAGACCAGGGTTTCATTCCTGTCAACAAAAACCTGTGGTAAGGGCCATGTTTTATTTATATCTACAGTTAGAACTACATTTACTCAAGCAATGGGCACTTTGGGAAATTCTAATTGAATATTTTGGAAACTGCTGCAAAATAAGCAGCACTAGTAATATTTTTAAGTTTGGCAAACGTTAGATTTTATAGTCTTTTCCCACTTAAAATGCGTAAAATATTTTATACAGATATAATAGAATACCTAATGTCACATAATTTGTGTTATGACTAGGTTTTCCACATTTGCTCTCCACTCCAGCATCTTACATTCTCACAACTTTGTGGCCACAGGATTGTGAAATCAGACAAAAGAGAAGTTGTAGAATATCTCATAAAAAATGGAAACCAATCAAATATACAGCAATACCCTTGGCAAATATTTAAAGTGGTCTATCACGCCAATATAGAGTTTATTTACATAGCCCAAAATCACCTTAGACATAACGGGCTGTACCAGTAAAACTCATGCATAAATAGTTATAAACATCGAGATTACACACTCTCTGACATGCATAGTTACATTATAGAGTTAAACATTAAAGGTATTAAAGGTATCCAGGAGTGCATAAACTGAATGAAAAATGGCATGTTTTTGGATGTGATTTTAAGTTTAAAAAAATTGGCAGACCTTCAGCTGGTGCAGTGCTGATAAATATCTTTTTTTCGCCCTTTTTTTAAGTCCTGTCCTTTCTGGCCGATTTTGCAATCAGAATTATGATCTG